TATATATATATAATTAGATTAAGATGTTTAGAATCACTTAATATTATGGATGCTAATTGATTTAATAATCCTTTTATAAGTAAATATATAAAGTTTTGACTTCTCATCATAGTTTTTTAAACAATTTTTTATTTTAAATTTTACATAAAACATTCTTTATTATCTAATAAACTTGTTGGTCCAGAAGTGCTTTTGATTACAAGCTTATTGGGCTTAGATTTCCATATTAAAAACTAATAATCTAATCAATGAATAATATTAAAAAAATTAAATATAAGAAGAAAAGAATGATAAAAACAACACATCATTATATAAACAGAAAAAAAATCTTTTGATGTTAATTTAATGACAGAATACAATAAATAAAAACAAATTACAACTAAAAATAGTTTACTTAATGATGGAAAAGCATCTGCAATATTTTAGTTGTATTGTTTTTATTTATTGTCATTAAATGTCAAAGGACAGTTTTTCTGTGTTACAATGCAATTCTAAATTAGCACAATTATGAGTCTAAAGATATTAGATAATGTTTGTATATAGTTTATTTCATATACTGCTTTTATTACTGCTTTTAAAAATCATCTAATTCACATTCAGAAAATACTAATGAACACTGAAATAAATTATGTTGAAAATTTAAGCAGTGTTTCTTAAATTGTTACAATTGTACAACAGAAACTCAAACATTCTGATAAAGATAATTTACAGTTCTTTTTGTTGAAGGAAAAATATTCTAAAATATATGTTATTATATATTTTAGAATATTTTTCCTTCAACAAAAAGAACTGTAAATTATCTTTATCAGAATGTTTGAGTTTCTGTAAATATACTAGTAAATATTTCAAACTTTTGACTTCATATAATACTATTTCTGTATGATACACAAAATAGCAAAGCTCAAAGTAGTAACTCCTTTTGCAACTAAAAACAGCATAACGGTGATTTTCATACAGATAATAGCAGTGTTGATAAAATAAAACTATAAAAAAATCTTAATGATAAAAATTCATTAACTGTTTTAATATGAACTATGATAATTAATAAATTTTATTGTGTAAGGTGTGATCAAATAAAACATGTTCATGTCTTATTTAGAATACTAATTAATTGAAAAATGTGTAACAACCTGTTAATATATTTAGATGCAAATGGAAATATTTTATAATAGAAGAAAGAGCAATATATGTTCAGGTATTTGTCCAAATACTTGATCAATGTTTTGATGTCATGCAATATAATGAAGACAGAGAGAACTTGCATTGAATTGTGACAGGTGATAAAATATGGAATTGCCAGAGTCAGAGTAGAAAGCTATTAGCTTTGTAGTAGAAGCATCTGAGCTTATCTCATCTTAGGATGTTCAAAACATGTAAGTAAGAAAAGTCATGATTATGTTAAAGTTATGATAAGGACAGTTCATGTTTATTGCTGTTGGAATTCCATCAATACAAACAAACCATCCTAAATCTCTGTGAAGCAATCAAAAACAAAAACCCAGGAAAGTTAAGGACAGACATATCGTTACCGGTACATGATAATGCTCATCTGCATGTTACAACAGATGTCCAGGTGGCCATGCAATGAATGTGCTAGGAAGTTTTACAGTTTCTGTTAAATAGGCAAGATTTGTTTTAGTGGTTCTCTCAAAGAAAATTTCAAAGAAACCAAAAAATTGTCAAATTTCAAAAAAAGTGAGAAGAAAGCAGCACATGCTTACTTATTGTATTATAATGCTTAAATAGCATTATAAGAAAGTAATTATTTTTATTGTAAATTTTATAACAAAAAAACAGCACAAATCAAATTTGCATATGTTCCAACAGTTATAGACTATTATAACTAAATTACAATAGTGAACCAATAATATTAAACAGAGTTACAATTACATCTAGAACTCCTTATGAGTTACAATATTTTGCCGGTAGGTGACTGAACACTTTATGTCTTAGTATTGTATTTTGTAGTTCCTCTCCAAAAAACTCTCTCATGGTGCTGCTCTCATTCGAGCTCAGAGACTTCTTCCACTGTTTGTCTACCTTGGTCCTCCTGAGTTTATCTCACTTCTGTCCTTGTCCAAGACTTGACCCAAAATGACTTCTCTGTTCGAGCCCCTTCAGATATTTCCTTTATGTTGTTCAGACCAGTTCCCCTCAGCTGGTGTCCTGAATTCAACACTGAACAATAGAGCTGATCTGGACATGATTACAAACAACAGCATAACACTGGACAAAGGATGAAAAAGACCATATGAAATGGGGTGGATAGTGAAGACAAAAAGAAGAACATGGCAGACTGCCACAGTAGACACTGTAGACATTACAATAAGGATAAGAACTGGTTATATGGAATAATTTCTAACACAACAGGATTTTAACTTCTGAAATAACTATTCTTGAAAATGCAGAGATTGTCATGAAGCAGGCATCATGCAGAGGTAACAAGATGTAACAACTGTGTTTTGTTTAATAACATAACTTTTGGAGACCAAAATAGTAAGTGTAAAAGTGTAAGTCAGAAGTCAATATTGAACAACATTGATCTGACTAGAAAAACATTTCTACCAGAAGCAACACTTAAATAAAAGTATAAATATATTTGTAGTAGACTAAAATATTTTGAAGATTTTTTTAACAATATTAAATCAGGAGAAATGTCATAATGTATTGACAATGGGTACATTCCAGTATGCATCAATGAACAGTTTAGAAACTTTTTTTTAATCAAAAAGCAGTAGATAATTTTGAAAGAAAAGGCTAAAAATATGTCTAATATTTAAATAAAATATATATTAATTTATGTTTAAGATCAAATTTTAGCAAAACAACAAAAATAAAGTAATTTTATCTACATTGTTCTGTTTATTCTACAACACATCTTGCTGGACTGTTAGGCTTTTGTTAATTTTAAATAGCCATTTCATAAATTTGTAAATCATGATAGTCGAAATTATTTTTCATTAAATCTTTAATATAAAACTTCAATTTTTTTACCCATTTTTATAAAACAAATATATAAGAAATTATCATTTTTAGATTAATTCATTGTTCTTCTTAAGTTAAATTATAACTGAAGATAAATATTAAAAATGTGAATTTGTTCCAATATGTATATACTTTTTCTTTGGTTTCATTTCCTTAACTTGATCCTAATTTTTAATCTTGAATTTTATTAGTTGAATTTTAGCTATTTCTTTTTACATTTAAGGATTACATTGGTTAATATAATCAACATATCAATACTTTTCTTTGGATATTGAGTTTTGATTAAATTTTCACAAACTCGCTATAATTTTTGTATGTTTAATATTAAAACTGTAACAGTTATATATAATTCTATGTTAATAAAATTATGAAATATTCTCAATTTTTAAATTAGTTGTAAGATAACATTTTGTAATTTATGTATTGTCATTTTAATATTGCAATCAAAATTAAAC